TTCAGTTTATTTGACGTTCAATACGCCCATATTATAAAACAAAGAAAAGAGAGTTTGGCGTTCAATTATATCCAGTGTCCGTACCAATACTGTGCTGTATTCAGAAGCGCAAAATATATTTTATGGTTCAATAAAAATTTAGGCTACTACAGTATGAATTACGAATTCAGCATTTCAGTTATGTATGACGCGTATAGAAAATGTTTACCTAATGACATGAGCACAAACTGCTGTAGCATAATGATAAGTATAGTCGAAGTTTTCATACGGTATTAAATTTTAATATTCCGTTTTAAAATTTATAATTTCTAAGTACAAATTTGTGAAATTGTGATATTATTCTATTTTTGGATGGTGATAGTAAAACTTAACTCGAGTTCACGGAACACGGAGGTTTTTCCGCCAACCTCCATAGATTTAAGAAGAAGGACAAACCTAGATGCGTCTGCGACCCAGGTGCGGAGAAGGACATCTTCCATGTCTTCATAGAGTGCCCCCAGTACGGAACACAAAGACACACTACAAACACGCATTGATACACAAATCAGTAAGGACACATTAAGGGAAATCTTTGAAAATGTGAAACAAAGGAAACTATTCTTAGAGTTTAGTCGGGGAATAGTAAAAAAGAAATAAGAACTAGTAAATAAAGCTAATACAGCACCTCAATTGTAAAATAAGTATTTATAATGAAAATGTAAAAATAAGAAATATAACAAGAAGCAAATATGTAAAAATTCATAGGAAATAATAAACAAGAAAAATTATTGTAAAATAGATATAAAAAATTAAAAACTCAGAGAAACGAAAATGTAAATATTCATAATAAGAAAAATATGTAACAGAATTATAAGATAAGAGATAAAAAAAAAACAAAAAAAAAGAAGCACAAAAAAAGAAAACAAAAGAATGGAAATCAAAACAGAATATAAAGACCTGTAACAAAACGGGGATTAATTATAAAAAAAAAAAGTGAGAGTATCGTAATCATAACGTGAGAGTTGCAGTCGCTATCAAAAGACTCATGTAAAATTTAATGCTTGTCAAGATGTTGCAAGAATGTATGTCAAAAATTTGTTGGAGAGTTTGAGTGCGGTCATTTAAATTAAATGAAGTAAAATGAGGTTTCATTATGAATAACAGTACTTCAGATTTAATTTGTAAGTAGTAGTGTTTCTAAAGAAAATATTAGTAGAAATAATTCCACGTGGGCCAGGCAGCAGACGGGACTCGAACTTGCACCCTTATCCGGGCGAATGCACTGGCCATTATGCTAACACGGCCGTTATGGCCGTGTCGAATTCTTTCTAGCCTTTCTTAAGCTGCAAGGCAGCGCCAACAACATCGATTAGTTATATGCTTAAAAAATAAAAATATTAAGTAGTGTATGTTTTCTGCTAACGTAATGAAACGATAGCGTTAATCCATCTACCGTTTTATAATGATATAATTAGCCAGAATTAAATATAAATTGGCCTATGAAGACTTGGGAATCGAATAATGAACGCATGGCGGAGTTTCTTTCCACCCTCGGGCGCTTCTGTCCTTAATGAACAAACACGCCGCGCGCTTCGAACAAAACCCACGGGCTTTAAAACAACAATGCAGCACTCCTCATTACTCAACTGGAAGTGAAATAAAGTGTTTGTTTATAGAATTTGACACTAAGAGTCTTAAATTCGGCAATAGATAACTTCTTGACAAGTGTTTATGGTTCCCACACTAAACCGCGATCCAATGCGATACGACGCCGCATCGCAGGAACTTGCGACGCTAATAGGTGCGATACGATTTCGTGCGGCAAAGCGTTGGTTCACGTGATCATACCTTCAACGGTAGTCAGTCAGCCGTATTGGGTGTGTTTTTAGGAAAAGTTTGTGTGTGTTTTTAGTGAATATGGATCGCAAAAATATTGTTGCACTGCGATTATTGTTAAATAGATATAGAAGAAGAAAAAAAAGATTATAGTTTCATCCAATTTTTACGTACGATTATGAACGCTGATGGGATCTATTTTAAGTACTTGAAAATACTATGGTTTGAGAACAAAATAAGATAGAATCATGATTAACATAAGAAGGAGATAGAAAGCCTCTCTGAGTTTGTTTCGCCGGTTCTTCGCAGAAAGCTCTCCCAATTTTAGAACCGGTTGTAGTTTACGTAGTTAGGGTAAAATAAATACAACTCAAAATTATAAAATAGAATTGAATAATGTACTTAATTAATTAAATTAGCTAATAAATTAAAGCATAGACAATAAAGTTTTAAAAATCTTCCAATGAAGAGTGTTCGGAATACTCAATAAAAGTCTTTCGAAGGTAGCTCGACAAAGTAAATGAAAAAACATTATTCCGACGACGCATTGGGATCGAAACGTCAATAAATAAATAAAATCAGTGCATCTAACCCGTTGAAACTTGTTTTACTTAATAAGTGATGTGCGTGAAAACCTAACAAACAAATAAGATAATTTACTTGGATTATTTTAATAACTTTTAATTTATTATCGCCACACAACGACGGCGAAAGGGAAACCCTTTCGCTGTCTCATAGCGGGCTAAAATGGTATCACCAAGTGTGATGTTATATCGCCGGAGTACGCGACGCCAATCAGATCGGAAGTTATTGCGGTGCATTCGTGCGAGCTCGCAAATATTCGCGCTGCGATGTGAATTCGCAGTTACGTGTGGGAGTCCTTAAAGCCTCGCTCGTCGTCGCTTCCAATCAAGAAAGACTGGGACGTTAGCGCTATTATATAGCTCTATACTGTGAACTATGCGTCTAACCCCTAAAATGGGTAATACGAGTAACATATTAAAAAACTCCCTAGTCATAAAAATATGTCCACATCAAATTTCCCTTGTTTCTTTATACTATTTTATTATTTTCTTTATACACAACGCTTTAAATATAACGCTGAAAAAATGTTTTGGCCGGGCAATATGTCAATGTTGTTTACGGATTTATTTATTTGATACGTTTCGGTTGATTGTTTTTTTATTGAATTTGAATATTTCGTACACCCATACTGTATGTTTGCATTATTTATGGCTTATCGAGACAGGGATTGCAGAGAAACGCCTACCTTAATTGATTTTCACTCAGTGCTTTTCCATCGCGAACTTATCTTTGAAACAAGTGCAAGTCCGACCACCACATGCACCACATTGTTTTAACGAAATTTAAAACTAAATTATGCATAAACTTTATTTTATCTCTACTTACTGCAAACAAGTTAATAAGGAAAAAGAGCGCGGTCCAATTTATCATCACTTCGTACTTGTTTACCTGTTTGCAGTGAAAGTTTTAAAACTTCAATCCTAAATAATCACATATTATTTCGCAGAAGATTTATTAGGACCGTTTACGGCTCATAGCTGTTGTATATGAACTCTGTTAAAGTTCAGGTTCAATCTAATTTTTAGGCTTTGGTAATTCTCGTTGAAAATCAATTTAATTTGTTAATATTGAATAGAATTTAATTTAGCCAGTAAAATTTTTATATTAAAAACCTACCTAATTTGCAGGCAGACACGATTCTAGCTTCAAAAGCGTTTCGTTCGTTCACCTCTTGTCCATCGTTAAATGAATTTTTGCATCCCCAATTCCCCATACAAGTGTATAATTCGTTTTAAGGGTTCCGTAGTCCTGACAAGGAACCCTTATAGTTTCATTATGTCCGTCTTTCCGTCTTCGGTTTTGCTTCGAGATTATTAGCACTAGAGAGCTGTAATTTTGGGGATATATTTAAATCGAGCACGGCGACAAAATGGTAGAATAAAATTTTGAATAAAAAAATATTTTTTGGGTAGCGCCTTTGCCAGTAACCTGGGCATGATTTTTTTTTCATCATCTACCATAATGGATCCATAGTGTGGATTATCGTTGAATAGGTCCATTAAAATTATATAGGGGTAGAATTTATAGGTCCCTAAGACTATATTTCGATTTAGAGATCCGTTTGCGAAATATTGAACTTTAAAGTGCTAATTGTTGTTCGAGCAGGGCGTCTCCTTGCCTCTAAAAGCAAAACTATTGGCGTATAAACACCTGGACAATTCATGATAATAGTTCTTTTCATGAACTTAGGAACACTTTAACGGTTAAGATAGAATTGTTAGTTTAAGAGTAATAGTCGTTCAATTTTGGTTAAAGAAAATTTCTTACCTATTGAAAATTCCTTAGACGAAAACATTAATAGTGACATAGATGAAGTCATTGTAGCGTTAAACCTTGCATTGCAACAAAATCATAAAAAAAACTATTAAAAACCACAATAAAATATAATTAGTTCCACAGCGCTACCGCGAGTACCAACGGCAACGGCTTCCGAGTCGCGCTACTGTTACGTTTTTATAAAAAGTATATAAGCACTTGAAAAGATCGGCAGTTATACCGCATCATCCCCTTCTCAGGGGATGATCGCTTCAGATGAAGCGTTTAGTCAGTAAGAGTCTGACTTAACCTTGCAGCCGGCTGTAGGGTATCCATGAGGATTTCAATCTCGCTCCCCCGACTGGGAGAAAACAAAAAATAAAATTGGTGGTTATCATTCGTTTTCAAAAAAATAATAATATCGAATTGATTTTGAGTTTGAGACGCAGTTTGACTTTGATTTAGGTATTTTAGTTGAGATACATAGATTGATATTAATTGGTTTTTCTAATTTCCGACATGGAAAATAAACACTGCTGCTGAAATATATTGTGGTAACTACAGGCTACTATGGAACCCTACACTGTAGGTACGTACTTAATCGAAAGTTTAAAACAACCAACCATGCCAAATGTGGCATGATAACACGCGCACGGCTTTCAGTCGTTCACTCAAAACAATATCGAGTGTACGTATGTGCCCAATTTATATTCATGAATACGACTGTCGAATCTACATTAATTTTACGGTCGTTAGCTAACAAAGTTTACTTAGGACAATAAAAACGATGTGAATGGGAATGTTTTTCTAAAGAGAGGGGTTATAGAGATTGTTTTTGTTCGCAGCCGGTGGCCGAGGAGCCGTTCCGATTCGCGATGGAGTTGGACGACCTGCCGAAGGAGACTCTTAAGAAGTACATCTTCGAGGAGACGCTACTGTACAAGCAAACCAACGAAGGCGCGTAAACCTATTCGCTGCGATATCGAGTGCTCCTGTGTCCGCTGCGGCGCAGCGCGTGGGGTGAGGCGCACCAGTCTGCATGCAAACGCCATTTAAGTTTCGTCCTATTCAATAGTTGACAGACATTTTGTAGCGCGAATGATTCATACCAAAATCGCTGTCTTCGATGACTTCGCCCCACGGCTCGCTTATCTTAAGTTACCCTCGATTACGTTTATGAATAAACATTTCAACAGTATTTTGTCGTGTTAAGGAAAATGACGTAGTAAATACGTTATCTTAGGGAAACAATGTTATGAGGAAATCTCGCCGTTTGCATGCAGACTCGCCGGAATGGAGCGGCCGGACAGATGGCGACCTCTATCGACATTCTGTTATATGTAGTGGGTTAACCAAATTAAAATGTTAACCATGATGTTGTATTTTCTCTAGGTATTCGACGTTTCGGCTCGTTAGTTCTCTCTCAACGAGATTACATAAATAATTCTGTGGTTTGGTTTTGACACAGGGGCAGGATTATAATAATACTATTCGCCGCTATCAAATTATAAAGCTGATCGCAATTTGGCTAACTTGTCTGACACCCAACACTCGGAAAATAGGTTATTGTATACGGTCGAAGTGGCTCCTTCAATGCTCCGAAAAATAACGCAATAAACTTATATTATATTAGGAAGAGGCCAATTATAGCTTTCTTGTTTATAAGTGTATAATATAACACCATAATATGTAATCAGATATTAAAACGATCTATCCGTAATATCAATACATTGAGAAAGAACTATAAATCAGAATGAATTATTTCATTAACTTATCGTGTGAGATTTATCATATAAATATGACTGGATCAGAAATAGTATATTAGTAACAGCATAAAATATTAAAAACTTGACTCGTAGTTTCATAGATAGGGCTTTTCTGAAATTTATAAACGTTAAACATACCTAGTCGTACGATTTCTATATAATGAGATGTGAAGCGAGGTAGACGAACCTTCAGGGACACCGTATGGGTATTTTACAGTTTTGAAGCGTATCTACACGTTAGTGTAACGTGTACTGGCGCACACAGATCAAATTTTAAACAGCTTATAAATTACTACGTAACGTTGATATATTGAAAGCTTAGGCGATATTTTATGTGTGTAACCAATTAGTACTTATCGATGTAATACATTAATTCTTGTGAGAATAACAGCTGTTGGTACGGTTATGGTATTAATGAGGTAAGAGGAATGAGATTTTAACATCGTTCACTCGGTCCTAGGTATTGTGTTTGCGGTAGTGATGTACGGTTAAATCACCCACAAACAACCGAAGTCGACACCGCAATTAAAAATAAGTCGAATATACGAAGTCGTCGTAAATATACTTAGTGGAAGTAGCGTGTAAATATTTTTACATTTCGAATTAATGTATTTTGAAGTGTCACAGAATAAATAAAACTTCGAGCACGAAAACTTTATTCATTAATTCTGATGTGATCTTATTAAAATTTATCGTGTTATCCGTGCGATGGACGGGGCGCTCGTTGTTAATCTTGCGTGTTTCAATTGTTTCTATGATATTATAAATAATAATAAATTATTGTCTTCCTTGTATTTGCATGTTAGCGCACAAGACGATTTTAGAATAGTTGATTCTTCATATCAGATATTTTAAAGCGGCGTTGGTGGGTCGGTTATGAGAATTAAGTTGTCTGTGCGGTTACGTAGTGGGGGTGGGGTATTGTGAGGTTATCAACGAGGTCCCGGGCGGACGGAGAGGTTGGATCTACCTATCTGTTATTGCTCTGTGTCTCTAAGATGTTGTTATCGACTCGCACATTTTCAGTGGCATATCCAGTGAGAGTCGCTCTTGAAAAGACTCGAAATATATTGTGTTAAGTAAAGTTCGTTAGTTGGACAGTATCTAAGATGGAAAAAGGCACAGATTAAAGTGTCACACTGCGCGCCGTTTACAATTAACTGTGATACGTTGGCATCGCGATTGGCTGATATAGGTTCTCAGGCAGACACGCTACCGAGGAGGTAAGGTTTCTTGTCTGCAGTTCCAAAAAAAATACATAAAGCTGAGCAATATACAGTCTCTATGTTGGTGATGACCAGTAGATACTCAACACGGTCTGGGTCGCGATGTCTTCGTATCACTAGTGTTCTTTTAACATAGTTTTTTTATAACAACTGATACGGTGGTAGTGACTATTCCAAATTAATGATTTTCCAGAAGTGAAGTCTAGTCTAGACTCACTTTTCACCTCGGAATACGCAATGTGATTTAAAATTAGAACACGGATTTTAATTAAAATTTCAAATCACACCGGAAAATTCCGTGATGAAAAGTGATTTTGTTCTTACAGAATAGCACTGCTGTTCCCTTCCAAAATCAGCATAACAGTATTTCACCATACATGTTGTTAACGCATTTTACTTAACTTCATATATTTATACTAGTTAGATATTTGTTGAAAATATGTAAGAAGCATGTTAGGTGACTTCAACTGTATTGAAAATAAATTTATCTTTCATCTTTCGTGATTCAACTCACAGACAGGAATGTTATTAGAAATGTATAGTATGTATTACAGGTAAGCGCTGTCATATCTACGTTGTCATAATAATTATATGTACACACATCAAAAGTGTCTAGGGATCAACATATATTTTTGCAATAACTTTTCTCCTGATTGATATTAATTAAAATTTTCTTTAAGGATTCATCAAATAAAGTGTTTTCGTTTGTCACAGTAACGATAAACCAAGTCACCTTTGCATTAATAAAGAAATTTGCCATTTTCCTAATAAAGGGATTTTTGACATTTGAACCACTAACACAAAAGTTCGAAAAAAAGACTGAAATAACAGTTTTCTCTAAAATTTTATTGGGTAACTTAAACAATTAATAATCCGTATTTCTACCGCGAACACTAACAACACAAGAACATCGGTTTGGCATACTCAAAATGAGTTCATCCAAATCACGCTGTGGAATGGCCGCCCATGTTCGTTGCAACAACAAAAAAAGGTCTTCTTGCGACTGGATACCCTCCATATTCGGCAGAGCTCTTCTCTGTAGCATATCCCATGCATGCTCAATCGGGTTCAAGTCTGGCGACTGAGCAGGCCAGGGCAGGACATTGATGTTAGCTGCGGCGAGAGTCTGTCTTACAACTCTTGCGGTGTGCGGTCGTGCATTATCATGCATTAACTGAAATAAGGGACCGATTTGCACTTGTAGAGGAACGATGACGTCTGATACAATCGTCTCAGCATAAATTGAGCGTTGAGGTTGCCTCTGATCCAAATCAACTCAGTTCTTCCGCCGATCCAAATACCCGCCCATACCATGATGGTTCCACCACTATAAGGATGGACTTCCTGGCAGGATTTTAATCGCTGTTGGCGTCCAGGGGTTCTCCAGTGTCGTATAGGTCTTGTATCCGGTCTCATACCAAAACGAGACTCATCAGAAAAGCACACGAAACGCCATTGTTCTTCTGCCCAATTTCTGTGTTCAAGAGCCCATTGATATCGAATCCTACGATTGTGCATTGCTATAGGTGGTACCCGTAGCGGTCTTCGGGAATGAAGGTTCACTTCATGCAAGCGGTTTCTGACTGTTTGGTCGCTAATTAAGTTCCCTGAAGAGTGATGAAGCCTCACGGCTAACATCATGGCGGTTATTGTTGGAGCTCTTCGAGTTAAGATTTGAATGTATCGGTCTTGTCTCCGTGTGGTGCAGCGATACCGTCCTCCATGGCGCTCAGCCACGGTACCAGTGCTTCGGTATCGTGTCCAAAGTCGACTGATAACACTCTGACTTGTATTCAGAGCTAAAGCCACAGTACGTTGCCGGGAACCAGCTTCTATCATTCCCACGGCTCTGAGCATTTCTTCCCTGCTTAAATGACGTCGCCGCTCCATAATAACGTTGGTTTTAATCAGTAGTAGGGAAACAGTAGCACTAATAATGTCTTCAATGCGTTGTATGTTTTTATAGGGAAAATATTGACAGCTGATTTTCATCTTTTACTCGAATTTGATTCACAGTTCCTGATTCAAATTATGAAATGCACCAAAAAGGATCCATATAAATTTATAAAATCATAAATTTATTACAAAGCCACATCTCAATCTCAAGAAATCCGCATAAAAATGCTTGATCCCTAGACACTTTTGATGTGTGTAATTTCCTACATTATGTCTCTATATGAGTTCAAGAAAATTCTACTTCTTCAGTAGTTTGCTGATATTTATAATAAATTATTATAGTAAACTATTAATTATCACGAATTGTAATAAAACGTATTGTTTTGCATTTATTGAAATGATGAAATGAACTTTTTTTATATTAGGAAGTCAGCATTTTATTCCAGTCTGCGAATCTATTATATAGTATTGTCGTATAAATATCGTATCAGCAAATTCTTGAAAATTTAAAAAAAAATGTCTCGTTATTTCGCGTCTAAAAGAACAATGAAAATTTGCCTATATTGTAAGCGTTATTCATAATGCTCGTTCGTAATCGGCTTCATTAAAATTGTGTAATTTCTCTCGATTATGTATTAGAAGTTAGCGCTGTAAGCTCATAAAAAAGACAGTCATATTATTTATTTTTTTAACATTGTATAGAGGTTGTTGCGTAGGCTGGCAGGCTGGCAGGCGGTTAATGGGGCGGTAACAATGAAATACCGATACCGGGACAATACAGTACCTATAGTAATCGAAACAAATTAACCGGAAAATCGCTGGCAACCGCGACGTGATTTTGCTACCTAAAGTCCCACACATAACTACAATAGTTACCCCATGATACGTACTCATATGTGACTTTGGAATAGCGGTATCTTCGTAGTATTTATTCAGTATTATAACCTAAACGCCATACATTATGATCTAGATTAACGCTAGTCCCGTCAACATTATAATTAAATAAAAGAAGAATGATAAAAATCTATTGTTTCTTTCCTTGGTAGCACCCCATTGCCACTGTTTTTCGAATTCATGAATAGTTACTCAGTGGAATCTGACGTGATAAATGAAGTTTTATTGTCAATATACGGAGAGCGAAGATTTAGAGAGACGCTAAGAAAGTGATAAATAGATCTCCGTTTGTATTCTTGATTTAGAGTTGCATCCAAAATTGTACGAAGTTCATTAATATTATTTGTAAAAAAACACAATTGAATACCAAAGTATTAAACACTGTAATCTAAATGAAATGTGTGTAATGGAATGTAATAAATAGGCTCTATAAGCGATCATTACACCTTATGTCGACGAATGAATGGATCGTATGGTTAAAAGCAGATTTACATTGCTACAATAGCTGGGTCTAGTTTTAAGTGCCTAAAAATGAGCGCTAGTTTGACTGGCACCAAAAAGTGTTTACACAGATCAGCCGGCTTAGTGTAAGTCACTGTATCAATAATGCCAAGACCAACTTAATTAAACATTCAGCGCCTATGACTAATTAAGTCTCCTTCCTTTCCATGAAGGTTGAATTCAATCAGGTGTGATGACCGCTGATAGTCGGATAATTGGTATTTTTCCGTTGTGTATCATCTCTTTTATCATCATCCTCCAGGAGAAGGGAAAAAGAGAGGTGTTGGCAACTTTTTGATCCTCAGCCGCAATCTGACAGGGTTAACAATCTCTATTGCTTTAAAACACTGAACATAAGCAAGCGATTTAAACTACGGAAAAATACCAAGTGTTGCGAGAGGATTACCGTCACCCATACCATTTTCGATTCATGAAGTATCCGCTATTTACATAGTATTCCGTAATTTCCGATTGAATTAAATTTATTAATAATATGCG